ACGGCTAATACTCCTCCTCTCGCCCTCTTCTCTTCCCCCTCTCCTTTCCGCCAAAAAAAAAAGGCCCAAAAAGTTCCCCCCCTCCCCCCCCTGCCCCCGCCCCCCCAAAAAAAACGAAAGGAAAAAGAAATGCGAGCCGCTTGACTTGTAATATAGCGACCACCCTTGACGCAGTCATGGTGACTCAACACCCCAGCGCCAATCCTACGCTTTTTCTCCACCCCGTGTGGCACCTATTGAGACCAGAGAATCCAGATAATAGATCGATAGGTCTGTCGGCTGGCTCAATAGCGATATATCTTCATGTACGTTTGAACCCGTATACCCGCGTTAAGTTGAAAGGCGCTCTCAATCCGTGCACTTCCACAGTGTAACCTCGGACTTAGGATTATTCGATGCATCGTTCCCTCACCAACGAAATGAATCTAGCGATACTAGGCGGGCACCGGGATCGGGACCGCTGGCCTCTTTCCTGGTATGGCCGACGGTCACATGCCCCTAAATTCCACTCCCTACGAAAGTATAGCTAGCAGACTGTTATTAGTACTAATGGACTATCGATCTCGGACCGGGCTGAAGGGGAACGTAACTCCCATCGCTGCCCCTTTACATTCTGAGGGTTTTTCCTCCACCAAAACGAAGCTTTTGTGTTACAAACTTCGAAAGTCAATACTTTATCCAAGACTCTCTCTACGACGAAGAGTCGAAGACGGTAAGGGCTCCCTTAAGAAGAAAGTATCTTACGCTTCGATCACACTACATATCAACTTCCACCAGGCTCCGATATTATTTGACAGAACGAATGGCAAAGGCCAAAAGAATCTGCGGCTTCTTAGAGGAAGACTGCCACCTATGGCCCCTACCTGTCTTTTCGTCTTTGCTCCCACTGATCCTTAGTTGTAAATGCCCTAGTGGAAACGGACTACTCACCCCGCACCCGATGAAAGCTACACTTAGTACGCCGTGATCCAACGGTTGGAGTTTCATCAGAGACATAACAAGTCGAGAGGATGCAGCATCACAGAAAGTTTCCAATCCTAACGTGTAGTCTGTCATGAACGCCTTCACGTGACAACAAGCATGAACCAGCTAGCACTGACTCAGCAGGGCTATCGCATGTACACAGCAGAGCACTACCCACCTCTCAACCTTGAAGCTCTCTTCACGCGTTGACATCGATATCAATAGACTAGTCGTCTATCATCTTTTGATCCCAGGTATCGCATTCACCCTTCAGTTAGATCGTTGGTCTGATATAATATTTCACGATTATGGTGGCGTCATTAAACCAGTGACTTCTATACTAGACCCAAACCTATCTTCTTCGCAACTCCTTAAGGAGAGCTGGACGGCTTCATCAACGACGACCTTGTTTCGCCCGACCCCGTCGGTGCGCACTGAGCAGTCATCACGAATCTTCCTTCAAGTCCTCATGAAACTATGACGGAGCCCTACCGGCCGGCCGCATTTTCCTTCGCAGGTCTTAATGCCTCCTCACTATGGCCCCTACCGCGGCACCCACCTGAGGCTTCTGCCATTGGCGTCACGGTAAAGCTCCCTTACCCGACATATGCTTCACCGATGGGAGACGAGATCGTGCCTCCGTTGACCAATATCCCGTCACTGCACATAAAGTAGGCGTACCGTTCGACCTGCGTCGTTGAATCAAGAAAGTTCACGGCTTGGGTCAAGAAGGAAGCGACGTCAGCGTCCGTCCCATTAGCGCCGAATTCCGTTAACCATAATTTTGTAACATTGGCTGCCGCCGCAGCGAGAGTAACGTCCTCTACGTGCTGCTGGAAGCCGGCGATGTCGCTCACCGAGCCGTACCAGTGAAATGCTACGAAGTCGACCTCACATTTCCCGGCGCAAGCTGTGAAGAATGCCTGCAGCCAGTGGACTCCTTGCGGTGGATCCAGGCCATCGCCGTTGGTGACGGCAGGGGAGCCGATAGACACTTGTCCTGCCAAGGGGTTCATGTATTGAATGTGATAACTTGCTGCCATGGCCGCAGTCAGATTAGCTTGGTTGGTGTCGTCGGGTTCGTTAAAGCCCAAGGCGTGTTTCGCGCCACTTGCAATGGCAGAGTTCACGGAAGAGGACCAAGTGTCCAACCTCACCAGACCCCAAAGCATAGGAACGAACTCCACACCGGCCACAAGCTGGCCTCCAGGACTAGCCGCCCAGTTGTACGCCCAAGTCATCCCCCTACCATCGAAGGCGTCAGTTAGCGAGGCGTCGTTGTACGCCAGCCCTTTCTTTCCCTCCGCGGAAAGGCCTCCACTCGATGATGAGGCGGTATTTGACTCCACCGAATTCGACGTCATTGAAGCCGTCATTGAAGCCGTCACCGAAGCTACCGAGGTACTGAGCCCCAGCGACACACCGCTCGTGACCTCTAGTGGCGGCGGTGGCCCGAAAGCCATCCGCAGTGGCTGTCTCGCGATGAGGCTGCCCCCTGTCCAATTTGCGGTACACATCAAACTCGGGTCTGCCGACGAGCGAAAGGAAGGTGGACTCGCGCTGGCGCAATCCCAGAGCTCATTGCTGGAGTCGGAGACGTTGTTCCGACCCGAACCTACTCCTGAATTATCGCTCAGAGCCCTATCAATCGGGGAAAAGGTGGCGTTTAGAGTGGCATTTATACTTGGGAATCTATCTGGTCGGGAAGAAACAAGGTCAGTTTCGACGGCGGATGGCGGTATCGCAGTTGGCCGTGAAGTTGTGCCGTCGATTGGCTCTGTATTAACGCTAGGAGGCGCTCTTCCGGCCGGTGAGAATATTTCCGCATCTCTGTTGAGCTTTCCCCTATTATACAGTTGATCATGCTTGTACTTAGATTGAGCGGCGAACGTGCAGAAAATCTGGAGGAAGAAGAGAATGACGCTTATCATCTTTTCAGATCCCTCAGCTGGGCAGCCTCAGATGATGCCGACAGAGGGTGATATAAGAAGTATTAGAGACTGAAGGAAGGGGATATAGAGGTCAGACCGTTGCTGCGTCGAGAAAAGTACGTATTGAGCCCTGCTCTCCATGATGAGGGAGTGACAAAGTGGCTGCTGATTAAGGTATTATAATCTGACTTTGTGGCCTAGGAGAATTTGGTGATCTTCAGATGGACGAATTAATTCTCATTCTTGCGCTTGGAATAACTAACTACAGTATAATATCGTCAGCATGCTGACTATCTCAGGGGTAAAGAGGGGCGGATATCAAACAAAACACTTCCATTGAATGGGGATGTCGTGCGATTCAACGCCGAGAAGCGACAACAGGCCGAAGTTTATCTGATTTCCACTCGAAGGTGATTGGAGTCAAGTGACGGGCCAGTGAATCGCCGATCCTATCATTCTCTACATATTAGTTGCTATTGGTAGATTCGTCCTCCAGAGGAGTCCAAATTGCGGACACATTGCGATATTCCCCCATCCGCCCCATTGGTCTAGCGTTGGGTTCGTTCCCACGAATCACACCTTGGCAGGCAGATTGCGGCGCGAGACAACAGTCGCCGATTTGGTGAACATTTCGCCTCGAAATCGGAAACACCATGCTTTGTGATTCAAATGCGGTGACCTGCTCCTGCAACATGGTCAGACTTGCCCATTGATTTCTATGACGTCTTGAGTAATGCGTGCCGACTTCCATATAACCGAGCGGGAGGTTTCCCCTGGACGGCGTAATATTACTTACCATGGAGCAGTTCAGTGAACCCCCGGGTTAGGGCGCTCCTCATATACTCCCCATGTTCTTGGGTAATACGATTTGGTCTGTAATATCTCCTCTAAACTTTGAAGCCTCCAGCCGGATTCTAGGACATGATCGGAGGGTTAAGCCGCTCGACAGCGCCAATATATGTCGAGATTTATCTCGGATATTTTCAGGCTTACATTCTTTGATGAAGTTCTGGCAGATTTACCGCCCAGCCAGCGAATTCTGCACCCACCTGTGTGGTAGTTTGGCACACCATCGGTCTCGCCAGATTTCACGCTCACTTCGATATAGAAAACATTCTTTTCAACCATAAGTTAAGTGAAGTCCGCAAAGCGGCCTAATTAATGTCTATAGCAACCTAAAGTTCGACTCTCAATTAGCGATGCAGATATGCGCACGTCTGGAATTTCCCACCCGTGGCTGGAGAAACTCATGGACGGCTATACAGGATTCTAGGCCACTCATAGGATTGTCTGCGTACTGTAGGAGACTCCGCCACGGACCCCAAACATACCCAGCAACGTCTTCACAACCCTCTATCTACGTGACCATCTACGTAAGAAGCGGGATGCGCTTGACAGGGAAGGCTCCCATCGATACATAGTCCCCATCCCAAACATGTCAATTCCCTCCATATCAGTCATGTATTATACTAATCTTCACTGCGAAATGGCTCGTGCTCGAGCGGATGTCACCCGACAGAACTATCGTGCTTCCCGTCCGGTGTGACTATACCCTAAAGTATACACCATATAGCCGTAAAAAGCGTGCTCCAACGCTGTCTCGTTCCGCGATCCGTATGATGTGAGCTGTTCATAGTATCATTATGCAATAAGTAGGAGTGGTAGGCTACTGTAACACCTCTGATATTCTCGTTTACAAGTGCACGAGAACATGGGGGACGAAAACCTACTGGCCATTCGACTCCAGTGGATACCCATCTTTATCAAGCTTCCCCACCCAATTAGGGTCATAGTACTGGGAGTTCTTGTCCAAAGTTGCCACATATCGATTCCCTCCACCTTTCCTTTTGGAGTGAGTTCTGAGATGTTGTCTTAGATTGTCCGATCTATTAAACGGCCTTTCACACATCGGCACCCAGCATACGAATTCCCATTCCCCAGGTGTCCGGTGTAATGATTTTTGATGCCGAACTAGGTGTTCTTGTCTCTTAAATCGTACCGGCTGTCCGGTTTGTTTGCTGGCACAGGCTGGATCATTGCAAACGAAGTGGCGCTGCGCTGTCCACTCGGCAGATAGTGTGTCGCGTTTTCGCGGATTCCGGCGAGGGCGACTTCTTACGGGGCTCCGCCGCTGCAGACGGTCAATGCGTTGGTCTCGTCCTATTGTCCGACTTAAAATAGGCGTACCGCTGCCGGTCGTGGTAGAAGGAGGGGATTGATCTTCGAGGGATGTCAGCAAAGAAAGGTCGTCACATGGAGAGTTCCCTGAAGGGACCTGGAAAATAAGACTTGGGTCTGCCACTTCCACGGGATGGTCGATAGCCGGAGAGGTCCAAGGGAACATATCGATATTTGTCACTGCCGCTGGCAAGGGTCCGTCCGCAGATATTGGATGGGATAGGAACTGCTCCGTGGTGCCGTGGCTCGAGCCAGGTGTGTCAGGACGGTATGAACCATGGCCCGTCTCTTCCATATTCGCGTCGCTTGAGTCACCCAGTGTGCGGAGCCCGGAACCTCCGGGGGCTCTCTCTAAAGCACCGCATGGCCTTCTTCTCCCGTCCAGTGAATGACTGAAAACGGAGTCAAGGCTCGCGATGACGGCGTAACAGTTTGAACATGGACCTGGTCGGACGGTGTCGAAAGCCCGCTTAGGTATTGCAGAAAGAGCACAGTTCGTCGAATACGAGGCCGAGTGGGTTGTAGAAGCAAACAACGTCCTATCGGCGCTGTGACAGCCCGTCGTCGAGGAACCGGAAAATAACATAGGAACGAGAGAGGGACACTCCCCCCCGCTACACAATGCATTATCTCCGTCACTAAATGCGTCGAACTTGAGAAACTCTGCGAAGAGGTTGTCTTCAGTCCTCCCTTGCGGTTCGTGGTCTTGAGTTATTACGAGTAAGTCTCTACTTTTTGGACGTGGATACTTAAGCTATAACTGACCCTTTCCACCTTCGGTTGATATTTTGGGATCTATTGGGTCGAAAATCATTTCAGGGTCCATATTCTCAGTAATAACGATTGGGATGGACGAGCGAAAGGGATGGAAGTGGATTGGAGAGCGGTGTAATGTTACAATCTTGATGTCAAATCAAAGGGCAATCGAAATCGAGTAGGACGGAAAGAGCAAAGAATGTACTTTCCGTCCTAGAATGATTTGTGCGTTATAGTACTGTATATCCGTCCTATTAGTACAGGATATGTAATTGAACCGTAGATGTCTTTCTTATTTATCGGCTCCGAGTTCTGTACTATACTGTAGCGTTGTTCTGATCTGACTATATTAACTAAGTTGGTCCCATATACAGAAGGTAGTGACCAGCTACAAGAGATTTAAAAGGTGGTCACTAGAGAGTCAGCGCGGTTAGACTCGGAGGTTATCAGACGTTTATCTGTAAACGATCCAACCGCGGGAGGCGATATCACCCATTTTTGATTTTTCTATTTTTCTGTTTTTGGTTCTCTCCTTTTCTTTTTCTTTTCTTCTTCTTTTTTCCCCTTCCCTTTTTTAAGGTTACAGTCCATTCCCGAAGGCGGCTAACGTTTTGGAAATATTGCGATTCTTTCCAGGTACGCTGTCAAATGCACTATTCCGGACATCGTCTAACTGCAGTTTCTTTATGACGAATCAACGTTTGGAATATTATTTTTGGGGCAAAACCAAGGTGAAATATAGGCGCCTGTTTGCAAAGATACCGGTGGAATGAAGGCTTCGCGTCTGGTGTCAAAATACTATGGCCCCTGTGAATTGAAAGCGGCAATATGAAAGTTGCGTCGCGCGTCTTGACTCTTGAGCTCTGGAGACGAGAGTTCCTGCTTTGCTGCAGCCGTTGGGGTCAAGTAAGCACTCTCATCAGTACCAAGAGGTTGTCCCCGCACCTTATCCTTGGCCCTATTGCTTTGGTACGACTATAACAAGGTTGAATAGCCTGCAATTGCCTCAATGATTTCTGCCAACTGAGGGGTGGTCATGTTGGCCTTCACTAACCTGCCTGCGGCGAGGGCCATTGAAGATGTCATCGTCAAATTCCTAGGGCCCCCGCGTTCTTGATGTGCAGCGCTGAACGGCACAATTCGACCGTTCACGTCTGGCGAAACTCACTTTCATCGCGTGGTGGCCATTCAAAACCCAGATTCCGCGAGGATTGATTGGCTGATAAAACGTGCCACCTTCAAAGACTTCTTCACGACCCATCGAACTTGTAGACCAGTACGGTCTACGAATACAGGGACGTCGTCACCTCGGCGGCGGTGCAAGGCTGGAGATGGGTCGACCAATATGCTGGGTAGGTGGGCATACGACACCGATCTACCTCACATTTGGAGATTTTTCAGTCTACAGTATGAAATTCCATTGCCTATGCCTCACGCCCTCCTTGATCCTGTCCAATTAGGGCGAGCACAATACTCACGAGATATTCCTCGGTCTTTCTCTAATGCTTCCTGTGTCTGGACCGTCATCTTCTGCCGCAATTCTGCACCTTTCACCTCCAGCTACTCCCCAGCAAAATAATCTCATCTGCCCACTCGTCCGGCATATTCCCATATTCATCCCCAGGACATTCTCATGAGTGGTCGGACATACTCTGTGATCGTCACCCCAATTAAGGCGGGTACTAATACATAGATATCTCGAATGTATGATCACCATGTACCTTTCTTCTCGTCTTTTCCTTCCCATCTTCGTCCCCCTCGTCGATCTCCGCATGATCCTTGTCTCCCGAGACATTCCCGTCGGCAATTCGTGTGATATACGGCTGCAACTTGGGAAATGGGAACGGCTTGCGGTGGCAGGTATATTCTTCGACGGCAGAGACGAGGGGTTCATCAACTCCCTCCCTTTCCCTGACATAGAACGCTCCCGTCACGTTAAACACTTGCGAACCTAGGGTCCCAGTGAAGATGTCTCCTCGGAGCGTCACCCTATCCAGCTGGGTTGCACGATTGAGTAAGATCAGTTGTCTCAACAGCGTCCGTGGGGGTTTGGTTTGTCGACCCGCGCAGATTGGCTTAGTCGGAGCTAACACCCACCAGTGATGGAGAGTGAGCTCTTTCAGACTGTTTCTGTGGCGTTTGAGGAACTGCGGAAGGGCATCGTCGACGTCGACCACAATCTTGAGTGTCAACCTTTCAAGATGGGGGAAGTATCTTTCCAGCAAGCGGCTGCCAAGTCCCTTACATCACTCACATAACCCTTACCCACCTGTGTTTCGTCCTGTTTAGGGTGTAATCCAATCGTGAGCTCCCGCACCTGTGGTAGTAGCTGCGGTAGACTGCGGCAGCTTTCTACCAGAGTTCTTCTCGCCGAGATCACCTGCCAATCCGGTTTCCGAGGGCTCCAAAACAGTTCGAAACGGTGAACTTCTGAGAAGACTGGCCCGCCTTCCGTCCCGCTGGTCAACACCTTCACCACATCACAAGTTTTGCTCAAATCTAGGATGACTGACTGGAGTTGTCCGCCCCTGAGCTCCCGTACCACTGACAAAAAGGCGTCCGTGAAGCGTGAGGAGTCCGGTTCCGGGCCTACCGGCCACTTTGCCGGTAGCCCCTTCCAGTTAATGGTCCGCACATATTGTCTGAGACGTTCCGATCCCACAATGTTCAGTGCCATGCCATGACTGGGACCTCGACGGGCTGGTGAACGATTTGATGCGTGTCTGAGAATGTTAGCTGTATTTTCCCTACTGATTGTGACTGCGCCCCTGACGCCACTTGCTCTCGCTTCCCCCGTCTCGTACCCGCGGAGGGTTTCCTGATCCTGGCCGCTGAAATTGACGGGGTTTCAGGTCAAGGTGATGGGAATCGGAGGTGGTCACGAATGAGAGTCTTCCCGAGAGGAGGCCGTAGTGGGGTACTCGGAGAAGTTTGTGGTGAAGTGGTCAGCGAAGGTTGTGTTGAGGTGTTTGGCAAAGGTCGTGGTGAGGTGGTCAGGAGGCAGTTGGACCAGGTTTTGGTGAAGCAGTTAGAAAGAAGGCAGTGGTTAGGCAGTGAGTAGAGGGTGTGTACAATGCCCCCGATTAAACGCCTCTCTCCCGCGCCATAGGACAAGCCCTTGATGTAGGGGAGTTTCCCGCCTGTTGCATACAACACTGTTGCCTTTCCCACGCAACTTGAGCTATCCCCGATCCCCGATCCCCGGTAGTCCTAATCGCTCGGCGAGGAGATATCCTCCCATGGACGCGAAGAGCCAAGTCGCCATACATGAACAAGGTGATGGGGTCCATGAGATATGACTTGCACTTTTGCCGCCGGGGAGACATCCATACGTCGCCAACAGCTCATTTCATTCTTTCTCACGCAAGGTCTTTGGGGGTCAACGACGTAGTGCGCCACCAACTTGCTCTTGATGCACCTTGATCAAGTCCCTCTCCCCCATTTCAAAGCCATTCCGGCGTATCCCCTAGTTGGACCGTCGACCAATTGTCTCGTCGGGTTGACATCCTTGCCGGTCTCTCGCGGAACGTCTCATTCTTTTCTGATGCACAGTCTTTGGGATGCCAGCGCCGTCATGCCGCCATCGACCTGCTCTTGATGCTCCTTGATCGAATGTCCATCCTGCAACGCTGTCATACGCCGTCGACCTGCTCTTTGTGCACCTCGATCAAGTCCCCATGCTCCATTTCAAGCTGTTCAGGCGCATCTGCCGGTTCCACCTTTTGGCTGTCGAATTAAAACCTCCCCAACTTGGTATCCTTGCCCTGGCTCTCGTAGAACGCTTATACGAGCTTCTCCAATTCCGAACTCCGCTTGATCCTTGCAGAAGACCTCGTCATTCGCGCCCGTGACCTGGATATTTCAAATCCTCATTGCTGCTGGGCTTTGCGCCCGAAGGCGTTTCGCTCCCCGCGCCGTTTGGGGAACCGTCGTGTAATATTTTATCGGGTTCGAAAGGTGGTTTGGACGTGAAGAAAGGGAAACCGAGGAGGACGGTGGTGATGTGCCTGATACCCTGACCTCCGCCAGTCTCGTGTCATCAGCGGAGGTGTTGCACCTGGATAGAACTGGCTAGCTCGTGGTGATACTCAGTCTTGACTTTCTTTGAAGTAGGAACGCGCTCTTCCACACCGACGGACGGATCGTCGCCATAGGACTCGTTCAGAATCGGCCAGTCGTCAATGGGATCCGTCTTGATTTTGGGGGAGGACAAGGAGGGGCTTTTCTCCGTCACGTTCGCGAGATCGTCGTAGCCGCCACGTTGGCGGTTACATCAGTGAGTGCCTCTTCCATCATACAGGGGAAGGAGAGAGGAAGGGTCTTACTCTGTGTCGAAGTCCAACAGAATTGGCGCTTGAGCTGTGCCACCACCACCCTTCTTTCGATCCATGACTGAGATACGGGTCCGTTACTTAATCCATACCAGCATTAGCAGATAGAAGTCAGGGAGAAGGATGGACATCTTACAGGCACTCACCCAAGTTTTCGAGGTTCGTTGTGACTGAGGTGACTTTGGAGTGACGCAGTTGTCACACGCTTTGTAACCAGCATGAAGAGACGCGGAGGGGGAAGAGAAGGAGAAGAGAGCGGTCTCAAGATCAGTCAAGGAACAAGGTCGAGGAGCGGTCACGGTGGACGTAAATTGGCCGTGAATCTTCCCGCATCACCTTCCCAACGCGTTGAATTTTCACATACTCGGTGGTGATCCGTCGTCCACCACCCCAAAGGGACCGACATCGCCCATGCGCACCCGCGTGCAACACCTTCGCCATACCAGCCAAGCCAAAGGTAAAGGCAAAGGGAATGGAATGGCAATGGCAAAGGCAAAGCTGACACGGTCATGAGCCGAGCGCAAAGTGATCGTTAGGCGCGGCCGCCAGCCATCCTGGCTGCGCAGGGGATAGTCCCCTTACCCAATTAGTCATCCGCAAATGGCGCAATCTGATTAGTGGAATCAGCTGTTGCCGTCGCCAATCCATTAGAGACCTTGATCTCTCCAGTGCTTCAGGCTCTACGATCCCTCAAAACATCAGCCGTTATTCCCACAGCCAACAGCCTAGGCGAATGCCCATCGGGTCCAGGGAGCCCACGGCAGCCCATGAGACGCTAAGCTGATATCAAGACAGCAACGCGTCCCATCATCACAATAGAAACCTATCGCATTACTTCGCGTTTCCTCCAAACCACCGCGACATTCTCGCCCCTCCTCAGTACCTACTACACGCTCCCTATTCTACGCTCGGTATCACTTCCAGAACGTTCTCCATGTCTCAAATCTCGATACCCTACTTCTTTTTCTCTGAAAGTACGTACAGTCGGGGCTGGAAGACTCTCAGTCCATTCCATCAACGCCGATTGACAGGATTCATTCAACGGCGAAAAACATTTCAGCGCTTCCCCGGTGGGATCAGAAATGTCATTGATACTCGCTCGCGAGCACATCCGCACACATTTTGAGGAGGTGGTAATCACAAAGTCGCTGCTCCCCAGACAAAGATTAGGCGAACACGAGAAGAGAAGGGAATATACTCAATACCATATTTGACTTCTACTGGAAGCAAGGCGTATACACAAGATCGCCCGCAGCGGCTCGGCTTTATGCAGTTCGAGGACTGGGATCGCGAAGCAACGTACGACAACGTGCCTCCCTGTCTACATTACTCCATTGAGTGGAAAGTCATGGTCAAAAAGAAGGCGATTATCACGGACACGGAACAAGATGTGGTACTCAGTCCTGCCGTGTACTGGGAGAAGTGCCTGCAACCGCGTCTGGAGGAGCGACTCTCGAAAAAAGGGTTCCCTCCCGGAGCGTTCGAGTTGAAGAGATCGAAGTTATCGTGTCCGTGACTGGGCGAACAGGGCGTCCGCTCACACGGCAGTTTGACGATTTGCAAGTTGAATGGTCGGTTGTGGAGACACAGCTAACAGAATGGAGTGAGCTTTTTCAGAAGGGGAGGAAGCTCCTCGTGAAAATTCGCATTCGATATGTAGAGGTTAACACATCGATTTCGACCAATGGTCAAGCGACCAAAACCACGAAAGTTGGGAGGACTGCCACGCAATACATGCTGGCCGACCGTGCCGCTCAAATTGACGCCGAGGAAACCACAGCCGGCCAGCCCTCTGCTTGGCGACATGTCTATGCCTTAATGCGTTGTCCGGGACCACCCTGTGTCCCACAAGCCCTGGTGTTGGCACGACACCGAAACTCAGAAAAGGTACAGATTGAAAGGGCACCATCTGCGAACTCTCGTCAGGTTACGACTGGAAGGATGATCAAACCAACGAGATCCGAAGCGAGTATATTATAATGGAGCATTCCCCCGGCGTTTTGCTGCATTCTGTATGGGCCGGGATGGCTATTGACCAGTGAGTTCAATGTATCGAGAACATTTGTCAACTGCTAGGCTGGATCGATGACATCCATTTTCCAGCCTATGGAAGTTTGTACACAACAGATCAGCAGCTCGAGTCCGCAATAACATTACAGGAGGATGATCGATTTTGTGTAGGACCACACGTTGCAACCCGATATTGGGATTGCAACGTCAGAGATCGTCGATATTACGACCGGTAGCCACCAAATAGAGGCCCATGTACGCATCACAACATCCGAGACTCATCGAGAGTTTGTTAATCGTTTATTAGGGACGGGCCTATCGACTTGGAGTGATGGACTGATCGATGCCGGCATCTCGAGAGTTCCACCACAAGACAAAGACCACGAGTTTCGACCGTCTTACTTCGGCACTCCTAGCATGCATCTTCAACTGCTTCAAGAAGGACGTCTACTCTTGGATACAATGTCGAAAGACCCGAGGACTCGCGCCGTCGCAAACCCGACGTTGTTTCATCCAGATTTGAACATGCGGAATGTCTTCGTTGACAGTGACAACCCCACCAAAGCCGCAAGCTTCATTGACTGGCAGTCGGCAAGTCTCGATCCGGCATTCTGGGTCTCCGCCATAAGGCCTGATTTTGCTTCTCTACCAGATCAGCCTGATGACTCGACGAATGATGGTATCATAGTATGCGCCAGAGCCTTCGACCTCTGCATAGGGTCGTATCTTCCACAGTTGGCTCGCGCGTAGTCCCTTGATTCACGCCTTGTCCGCCCTTTCCAATACCCACATCGGACATGGAACGATGGTGTCGTTGCTTTTCGGCATGACCTGGTTATGACTTCAAAAGAGTGGGAGAGTTTAGGGTTTGAAGGGACATGTCCCATTAATTGCGATGCCGGACTCCGAAAAGTTTTCTGCTCATGAACGCGAGTTATCGATACTTTATTGCTGCCCTAAAATTACAGCAACAGGTGGCAGACTATCTCAACATCTCATCCGACGGCTGGATACCTGAGGAGGCTTGGACTGCGGTACAGTTGCAGCATCAGTAACTCTATTCTAATGTAGTGCAAGCCATAACGAGTGCCGAGGATTCCGACGACGACGAACCTATCAAAAGCGAAAAGGAGTTGAAAGCGATCTGGCCGTTCGATTTATGAACTCGTACTATCCACACAGCGAGAAACTTTTATGTTGAAATAGCTACGCTCATACCATCCAGCAGTTGCATGTTGCATCAGTGGTCATGTCGAGGGCGCAGTTGCCGGGTGAAGAAACCTCCGGTAGTTCCGCGCCGGAAAGAAATGATAGAAAGGTATCCCGAGCCATGGCAGTCTAGCTGCCATCAAAACAAACAATCGCGTGGTCCATTCCCCCGCAAACGAGCGTGGCAAGGTGCATTATCGACCGCACCTCCAAGATTTAAAATCGTCATGCAATTTCACGATGTGCCGAATGAGGAAACAACGGAATCATCGGATATCTCTAATAGGAAGACACGTACTGCATCATGCCGTAAAGAGTGAAACAAGACAATCAATATATTGGCAATAGTCCCGGAGGAGACAGCAGGAATTGTGGACTGTGCGCAACTGTAACCAGGGAGAACCTGTGTGGATCGCTACAGGGAACGGGAGTCCATTGGCCGTAAGGATGGCTGATGATGCGCATTTTCGAACATCCTCTCCCAAATCAGAAGGACGACCAGGGCGAACGGGCACAATGGTGCTCCTCAACCAGATGGGGACGGGATCCTGGCTCCTCGATTGGGGCATAAAAGGCTGATTCTTTTCCTCTCTGGCTGGCCGGGTTCGCTATAAAGTATCTCTTCTCCTTTCAATGACTTTCAAACAAGCTGTACTATCGGACGGGGGAGAGCCCTTCGCGGGGCTCAACTCCGCCCGTTCAACATTACGGCTGGAGCAGATTGCCGGCCTTCGGGCACGCGGCATCGCAGATCATATTGGGTTACCGCAATTGGTCGTCTGCGGAGACCAGTCTGCGGGAAAGAGTTCTGTGCTGGAAGGTGTGACGGGGGTTCCGTTCCCGAGACAGGACGGTTTATGCACGCGATTCCCGACCGAGATTCTTCTGGAGCACTCGTCCGAGGGTGACTTGATCATTAACGCGTCCATCATACCGTCGCCAGGTCGCACGGACGAGGAGAAACAAAGGATCATCAGCTTCCACCGCATTTTGTCCGGCTTCGAAGATCTGCCATTGGTAATAATGGAGGTCAGCCGGCTATTGGGCATTAAGGGAGCTCATAGCGAAGGAGGGCCAGCATTTGCTTCCGATGTGCTTCGCATTAAGGTCCGTGGCCCTGTGGGCTTGTTTCTTAGTATCGTCGATGTTCCGGGCTTGATCTCCGTGGCGAACGAAGAACAGACTGATGATGACGTGGAAACGGTCCATAAGATTGTGGATGGCTATATTTCCGACCCACGGACTATCATTCTCGCCGTGGTGCAGGCTGGAAATGATATCGCCAACCAAAGCATCATCAAGAAATCTCGTTCGTTTGATAAAGACGGAGAGAGGACGGTGGGCATCATCACGAAACCGGACTTGATCAACGAAGGTTCAGAGAAGCGCATTGCCCTGCTGGCATCCAACAAAGACACTACGAAACTGAAGCTGGGATTTTTCTTGGTGAAAAATCCGGCCCCGAACGAGCTGACGAGAGGCATTACACCTGAGCAGAGACAAAAGGACGAGATCCAGTACTTTCACACCCCTCCATGGAAAGAGCAGTCCATCGATCCCGCACGACTGGGTATCGTTGCGTTACGAACATATTTACAACAACTTCTCGATCGACACATTGAGAAAGAACTGCCCAAAGTTCGACATGACGTGCGCGAGCTGCTTACTAAGACCGATGCTGATCTGGCGACCATGGGCGAGGAACGGGATAGCCCTTCGAAAATGCGCATGTTTTTAACTCGCTTGGCCATGTCATTCGACCAGCTCGTAACCTCAGCCCTGAATGGGACTTACGACGATGTCGACATGACGTTCTTCAACCTCGAAGAAAAACACAGGTCTCACCGCTTGCGGGCCACTGTTCAGGACTTGAACACCAAATACGCCGACACCATGAGAGATCGTGGCGCGAAGCGTCGCGTTGTTGCCGCCTCGGAAGATGACTGCTCTGACACGGAATCAACCGAGGATGACGATGGACAGATTCTGGTGTCAGAGAAGGGCATGAAAAGATGGGTTAGCGAGGTAGTTTCCGCCCCCACCTCAGGTTAACATAATGAAGCTTACTATCTATAGGTCTACCGAAACAGTCGCGGCAAAGAACTTCCGGGGACGTACAATCATGTCCTCCTGGCAGAGTTATTCCACGAGCACTCGTCCCGCTGGATAGATATCGCTCAGGACCACGTGCACGCGATTGGGAATGTCGTCAATGAATTTGTGGAGGCCGCTATCCACCACTGTTGTCCTGACACGAACGTCGCTGACGAGATCTTGGAACTGGTCAGAACCAGTCTCCAGGAGAACATGACTTGTGCCACAGAAGAGCTGCGTAAGCTGTGGGAGGATGAACAGCATCAACCCATTACGTATAATCACTACTTCACCGACAACATCCAGAAAGCCCGGGAGCAAGTCACCAAAAACGTTGTCAAACGCGCGGTAGTCGAGACTAAAGAACAGGATTGGAACGGCAAAATGCACATCAGCAATATCCAGATGGATATGGACCGATTCATTTCGGGTCTGCAGCAACGAATCCAGGTCAACATGACCGAACAAGCGTGTGTTGAGGCACTGTCGGGACTTCGAGCTTACTACAAGGTATGGCTCCCACCTATTATGAAAGCCGAAGACTAATGTAACCAGGTGGCCCTGAAGACCTTCGTCGACAACGTCTGCAGGCAGGTCATAGAACGTCATATGGCTCGCCCGCTGCCATCGATCTACTCTGCCGAGACCGTGGCAGGACTCTCGGACGAAGAACTGGTTAGGATCGCTGGTGAGACGCCTCAAAGGTCGGTGAAGAGAAAGCAACTGCAAGATCTGCAACGAAATTTACAGTCGAGTCTTGTGGATCTCCGCCGCACATCTACGACGCCTTGATTACGGGTTAGGATGGCTGGGTCTGCTCGGCGAGTTGGAGGAGTGTGAAAGTACTGGATCTCGTCTTTTTGTCTCTGCTCAGGTGTTACGCTTTTTGTCCTCTCAGAGGGCTGGAATTTTCCCCCAATAGAATTCCGGATCGAACATGGTATCCTTTCAACAAGGGTCGTTGTCATTGTATGAATGCGGCAAGTCATATCTCAATTACGGCTTCATCTTCGCCAGAACACTCGATTACTTGAGCCATAGCCCTTGTAAGTGAGCTAGTCTAAATACGCTCTAGCGTTTGTTCCACTCATGACATTCGGCATTTGCCTTCGATCTTAATCCCTCGCTGCTTTACACAGTACATGACAACATGAAATGCACTCTGCTCGCCCCAAAACCAGAACTTAAAAGCGGCACCAATTAATTAGCCTCTGGACAGAATAGCTTACCTGATTGATCATCATTCCCACTAGAAAGCGATACAGCCAGAAGAAATTACCCTCCCATCGTACACAATAATCACTCAATTTCTGCTTCTCTGAAACTGGGATGGAAGGCGGTATTGAGGGTATCGCAGACCTGGTTCGTAATCTGGATATTACCGGAGATACATTTGAGAATCGTGGACAAGAACGAAAACGATCAACACACAACCACCTAGTCACTCTGCAGACTACCGTCGACAAGCTTATACGACTTACCAGTACCATCACCTTACAAGCTCAATCCATCAATTCCCTGAGTAACGATGCCAATTCCTCCGGTGTCCTCTCTGAGGCATACTCGCTCCATGAGGGGATCAAAAAGCTCACGAGCATCACTCACAATCTTCAAACCACTGTTGAAACGCTTACTGAGGCCACGGAGCGTTCTGTTATCAGACGCCTCAAGACCTATGGAAGCCATACAGGAACCATTTGTGAACTCTTATTACATTTTGATGACCAGATCAAAGGCATTGTCCGGGAAGTCTTGAATCATACCAACGGTCGCGAGGTATTATGGAAGGTGGCTGAAGAATGCTTTAACCAAGCCACTCGTCTTTCTGGGAACCTCGATGCCAATGACTACTTTGATCCACTTGAAGAATCCCGTCTCCAATGGCCATACGATCCTGATTTTGAGAGCGAAGAATACTACGAGCATGAGAATCGCCTCAGCGTGGACGAAGACTACGCTGCAGCTTTTAAAGACCAAATTTCCCGCAGATTCGATGCTCGCAGTAAAGACAGGCAGAGTTGGCCTGACTTTTGGATTACGGTATTGACCAAAGTACCTCATGGGCCCACTCTGTTCTACCCGCCAGCAAGTTTATGCATGCAATCATTGAATTTGGATGCTGAACCCCCTTACCTGTTTCGGACGTTCGACGAGGTTAGCTCAGGGAGAAATGATGACAGTGTAGTAGCTTCTACAGCAAGTGTTTTCAGTCCACAAGACAGCTCCCGAACCGATCTGCTGGGGTTGGAAAGACATCGCGCAACTGAATTGCTGCATCAGCATCTAACAAAATCGTGCTTTCACGGCAAGGTGTCTGATAACCTCATGTCCTGGTCAAGCTCCTTACTTTTCACTGTACAATACGCGATTTGGAGGGCCAGGATCCGCAAGTGCCCCCGGTCCGATATCAAGATTTGTATTGTTGACACCAGGAAATTTCCAAAAGGACAATTCGTTCAAGATCTCTGGTTGATCAGAGCATATTATGCAACTGCCGCAGACATCGGAGGGGAGACGCAAAGATTTTTCCGATTCCGCCTCGAGAATGAAAACTTCTATAACGGCGAATACCTTTCGCAAGGAGAAGTAAATCATGGAGGTCGATCTTGCGTGATCTCTCTGAAGCAGCTTCTGGATGCCGGACTCTCTCAACTATATCCCGAGTTTGAAGAACCCAGAGGTAGTGAGAAATGGCCTCATCGAGTGATGGAACTGCGTCAGAGTTGGTCAGCGGAACAAGTAACGACAGATCGGGAGATTCAGCTTGCGTTTGGAGTGGCACGCAAATGTTTCGCTGAGTTCGAGCCATCCGAGATAGCTCCCATCCTCCTGACTTTCAAAAACCGCAATTCCCTTTCGGGGCTGAAACCCGCCGGTGAGTGACAACTCTACCATCTGTACTACACAACAACGCCTAATTTACCTAACACAATCTAGATCAATTCGACAACCAGCGGCCAAAATGGGCAGACAAGCCAGACGAAGTCCGTCGATACTGGATGGCTACTCAATCCTACAACGAACACCCCAATGCGCAGATCAATCGTTTGCTCCTTAATATCCATGCTCAACCCTCGGCATAATTTTACCTTGCAAGGCAAGCATACTGCAATCGGCGGCGGCGATAATTGAAGCGCATCTTCGATGCTGAGGCCGCTGAGCCCCGATTCTGATCACGACTGTTGCTGGTATAATAGGCTCGTAGCACTAATTGAATGTTTTATTCTCTACTCATCAGCTTACCATTTGTGCGCAAACGATCCATTCCGCGAGTTGGAATTCGGGTCACTAATTCAGCGAAGTGGGCTTCATTCGCGGCAGACATGTCTGGGTGTTGGCATTTGAAAGGTATGAAAGAACTTGCAAAATATTTGCTACGCTGAACAAGTCAATAAAATCCAGTATTGTCGCTTGACCGCCATGTCTCGCCCCACCGCCAAATCAATCGGCCTGCCATTCTTGGCGGCATAAAGGTCGCTATAAAACTTGCCGTGTCGGAAAGGTCGTGCTGCTGTTCAGCAATACTGAGCTCGTGTCGTAAGGCATGGAGAAGCCGGCAGGTAGCGTGAGGATCGCGGCTGTGTGCTAGACTGACTGCGTCAAGCCTGAAAGCCTCAGTCACCCGCTCGGACCACGGGATCAACCCAAGGTCTCTTGTCCATGAGCCTAATACGTCCGTATCCTCTTTTGTCCAGGTTGTTTGAGCATAATGTATCAATATCTCCTCCTTCTTTGCCCATCCGCGACACCCTTTGCGAATGATGTTTCCTCTCCTAGAGCCGGCTATCGCACCACAAATTGATCGAGTTATGAGCTGAGTTGACCAGGTTGATCCACCGATGGCCGCAAGACTTTGACGGAGTCCATGGCTACTTCGGGAGGGTTTGGAGGTGATTGTTTGTATCGTCCAGAGCTGTCTCTGGATTCTGCAGAGGCTGGCGTAGCCGAAACCGCACAAAATCCCATAGAATTTCGCACATGTCGAGGGCTCTCGATCTCCTCGATAGAGTAGACCCGTAGAAAAACGAGAAACAGCCGGAGAATGCCTCACCCAACGCAGCTCCCCTACCTCGCGCGCTGACGCCCACACCCTTTCTGCGTTTTCGAATCGAGCGATCTTCCCTCTCTTACAGGAGCAGAAGTCGGTTAGACGATACGACCGCAGAGAGCGAGAGCTTGGTTGCGTGGCGAAGAGCTCACAGCCGCACTCCCTTCGCTATCGCTAGGCGGTATCCTGATGGTTCATTGTGACTGCTGATCTCTGGGGTGTTCGTCGCCAGGCACTACCAACATCTCTCCTTACCGGAAATTCCCTGACCTACCATTCATGACGAATACCTTCGAGCGCGCCCGCTGCCACTCGTTCAGGCCGACAGGCCGAGTACATGGTCACATCGGGTGACGCCTTGGACTTAGAAAGGACAAGATGGAGTTGCAGGAGGAGGAATCAAAGAATCATCTCTGCGTAGTCGTGGTAGAAGGTCTGAAGGGTCGCTGACATGTCGTGGAGACCATGCTCTCCGTGCAGAGCTATTACAGTGAAGATGTCTGTCATTCGACAGTCGCCATTCAACGGCTGTCTCCAGCAAAAAATGAGAATTTCGAGGACAGTGTTGTAGAATGCTGAGAAGTTTTATGGTGTTGTAGGAAGGACGGGTGGGATGGGCATGGAAGTTTCCATGAGGTGGTCACTTCCATTATGAAACGCCGAGCGCGTTTTCGAGTCTGACAGGGATTTACCAAGAACCATACAAAGCGAAACAGGTTTTCCCAATTCAGATTCGTTTCTGAGATAAACAGGCTAGACTGTAATGGGTAAAGCGGTATCCCCCAGCTTCAATGAAAAAGAAAGTTGCAATGTCCGCGAGGTGAGGGAGGTTTCGGGAACCTCTGTACATGTTCCCTACGCCTCCAATGTCTGGATGCATGCCTGTACTAATCGACTCAAAGGTCCAATCAACAGAGTCCAACGGTTGGGAGCGCAGGCGATTGTCGGCACCTTTCTCACGGTGGCCACGAGCGTCGCTGAAGCAGAGGCCGGCATCGCTCCGGCACAAGATCGATTTTGGAGGAGAGTCATTAAGCTCTGGACAGACATCCATACACTGCCCGACACCAATCCACTCCGCCGGAAGACGTCCCGGATGCGGAGATTCAGAAGACAGTTTCGCTCGCCGCTGCATGACGTGGCCGAGGTACTTAAGGACTGTACAATGGAGGAACTAGAGACCATCCACCCTTTCCCGCTGGCGCCCTGGGAGAAGCGGATACCGACCATCACCGACGGGGCCACCCCGAACCAGACCGATGTCGCCGTGCGGGTGGCCGTCAATTGCTCGGCACGAAACGGCGTGGTAGGATTTGGCGTGGCCACCCAATTAATAACATCTACGCGCAGTAAGCCAAAGCGTAAGACCACTTACTCCACGATAGGATCAAGGTCACAACAGAATCCGTACTCCGGAGAGCTAGCAGCAATGGCGCAAGCCCTGAAGCAGCTCCCACCGCTGAGGTTTCGCAAAATCGTGCTATTAACAAGCAATAAGGCCGCGGTGCTCTCACTGAGACATCCGCGCCAACAATCGGGACAGGAATACATCGGTCACATCTATGACTCTACGCGACGGCTGCAGAGGAAGGGCAATACGGTGACGGTCATATGGACTCCAGCGAACGACGACAATAGGCTCAAAAAGTTCGCCAAAGACAGAGCACAAAAGGCCACCGGCCCAGACGCCCAAGCACAGAAACCGCGACCGGGAATGAGGTCCACCATGCTCAACGCCGCGCGGGCCAAACGAGGTCCCACCAGATGCTTGCCAGAAAAGGTCGGATCACATTCCAAGAG